AAATGTAATTTTTAGGTTTTAAAAACATAGCCGCATTCGCTTATTCTGTAATAGGCTACAGAACAAACTAACAAATTTTCTCTAATGTATGCTAAGCAGACGATTCAATATTATTGACATAGTCTGTGACGATATGCAGAGACTCCTACATAAATTTATTACGACAGCAAATAAATTTAACATAAAAGCATTAACAAACCAAACAAAAAGTATAAAAACCATACAGGCTCCAAAGGCCCTAGGCTTCAATAAGTTTCTTCCATTTTTTTTTCTTTCTTGTGCTAGGTTTCTCCAGAAGATCAAAAAGTCTTCTTTTACAGATTCCATCCATTTCTTTGAGATTGTCCTCCCTTTCTTCTTTTTGGACCAGCTTCAGTATTTGTTAATGCTTTCGGAACTCTTCCCTCTCACATTCTAGCTATGTGTCCATGTTTAAATTTTTTTTCAGGTCCATGTACTTGCATTATTTCATTATTTGTTCTTCTCCAGATATGCCCATCCTTTATACCTCCATAATTCTTCTGAGTATATTTCGCTCTTATCTACGTACATAGCTTTAGGACTATGGTTTTGCTTAAGATCCAGGTCACGCTAGTATAAAGCACCGTTGATATATTTCGAATAACCGTTTTATAGATTCTTCTGTTTGTTCCTTTTCATAATTTCTTTGATCTTAGCATCTTATTTAGATAACAATTAATGAAAAAATCCCAGTAGTTGGCTGTATACCATCGTTTAAAAAATATACAGAAGTCAAAACACTTCACAATTGTATTTTGGTATAAAAACATATGGTTAAAACTTTTAAAAAGTGTCGTCAAAATTAATATAGTAGCATAACGTTTTCGATCTAATCAGATTATCCTCAGTGCCTTATGTAGTTAAAGCTAACAATAAATTTGTGGCTGTGACATCCATATATGGGTTTACATCATTCCAAATTTAAAATATGTTGTGACTCTAGGTCGATAACATTGGATAAAATTTAATACTTTAGGGAGTACATGTCTCCCTGCTTGATTTTTAACACGTGGAATTTGTCTGTTAGAACGACACAGACCCTGGTCTGTTAAACAATAATATAAAAAACAGGTTTCACAAAACACAATGAGTTTAATTTTCAATGTCGTTTTCGTCAACGTCCTTTTCAGTTGCTTTCGCTGATTGGTCTCGAACGGAAGAAGAACTTAATTGGTAGATTTTTAAACCATGTATGAAGCGTTTGCGGAAATACATTTTTTTCACAGAGCATGACAAAACTAACGTTAATGTTTTCATATTCTTCGTTGAAATCATACGTGTATTCGTCACAGGTAAAACATTGTTCTTTCTTAGGATTAAAAAATAAAACATTATATTTCTTGCAAGAAGTTCGCCTAGTTAAGTTATCTGATTAAAGCTGGCAAATTGTCCTTTTTACACTTTTCCAGGAATAGGTCGTGCATATTTTAATATTCAAATTACCAAATAAAGTATTTTTGAAGACTTTCTAATGTAGTGACTTTCTATGACAGGAAATCTTTTATTGCGTCTTTTTGCTCTTATTCTCGTTTTCTCTGAAGTCTTATCGTCAGAAATCTTACGGCCCCTTCTATATACAGCTGATATTGATATTAAAGCTGAGATAACCTCACTTTTTGTTATAGATGGACCTGTTACAGCAATCAGTGTATAGTGTTCCACTCTTTTATCTTCAAATAATTATTACATGTAGTTTTTTTAATCTTTTAAGTATTAATTGATATCTGATATTCTGATAACTTTCTGATAGTTGTTTTCATTTGATTCCTGCGACCACTTATAATCTCTTGCGCAGATGAAATGTATCGGGTTTTTTTTCAAAATTTTCAATATCATATCCAATATACCAAAACAAATAATAAATTTTTACAGGTTTGGATAAGTCGCTCTGCATAAGCCGATCGGTAGGTTCATTCTTTGTCAGATGAAATACCTAAGTCAATTGTTTTCCTGAATCATATATATAGTTTTTCGAGACTTGGTGGGAAATATAATAGTAATAAAAATAACCATTTATGTTATTGTATGACATACATTTGTGTTATTGCCTAAAGAATAAAACAATATAATAAAATTCTGCAAATAAGTAAAAAATGAACAAAAGTGTGTTTTGCTTGTAAGCCGACGATATGTATCTGTAAATCTGAACATTCGATTATAGTACCTAATCTATATTTTTAGCAATTTTACGAAAAAAATAATTAGTGATAAATTAGTAAAATTTTCTAATGAAGATATTTGGATCATAATATATAGATAGAATATTATATAGATATGTCACTAAAACATAATAATATTTAAGTTGTAAAGGAAATATTAAAATATGTAAGTATGTATTGTAAAAAACAATAAAAATAGTGAGAATCAACTGTGTTTTATGGTAAACTGTTAAGCATGAATCATCTGTAATAAACTGTCTTGATACATAGATTTCTTTCAAGAAACACCAATGGTTATTTAACCCCTTCCGCTCCAGGCCGTTTTTTGAGATAGGGAGCTGTATACCAGCAAAAGTTTTTTAATGAAAATACATTTTACGATAGTTATGATGTATAATAGGAGAGATATTGACCTATGGGGGCCAAAAAAATATTTAAAGCAATTTGAATTTATATGAAAATTTATAGTGTTTACCAGAATATCCACATAAGGATATTTGGGTGTACCAGTATATCCACTCTTGAATATCGATTCAATCGATTGTACTACCAAAATATCCACATCTGGATACCATTAAAATGTATCTATGTCTATTATTTAATTTATAAAGGCACGCTAAATAAAAATAAAACATATATAAAAAGACAGTGAACAATTTAATTATATTCAGAACAAAGCAAAAAATAAAAGAACATTATTTTTATTACTTATGAAAACTTTCAAAATGTTCCGCTGAGCAAAGTCCAGGCTTGTCCGGACAAGCAATGCAACATTTTCTCGTTAGTTTACGCACTCCGCGTCTTTTACAAATTACACAAATTTTTCGTAGAGCCCTCTTTTTTCCAATTTCTTTTGGAAAATCGGCCATTGCATGCAACGGTTTCCGTGATGTAGTAGGTTGATTTTTTTTTTATTCATTTCTTGATATCCTTTACTATATTTTAGAAGTAGCCCCCGGCAGCAGAGTTTTGTATATTTATACATTGAAACTTGTTTTTGATGGGCTTGGCTGTAAAATACTCTAGAGTTCAATAGCATAAGATGTAAAAGGTGCAAACCTATTTTGGTGAACCACGTGTAGGACTTCCGCAAAGGACTGTACGGTTCAACATCTTGGTCTACTGCATCAACTGATCCCATATTTTGATTGTAGAATTGTACATGTTTCGGTTTGTTATAATAGCGAATATTTCCTCCTACAACATATCGTTGTCTTTCGCAAAATCCTGCAGTATGTTTACTGGTAAGCAGATAAACTTCATTGTTGTCCTTGTAGCGAACTAGAAGGAGCATATTCTTGCGAACAAAACATGATTGTTGCCTATCTAATGGAACCAATGTTAATTCTTTTGGAACGCCCCTATTTGGTCAAATAGTACCTGTAAGGAAAGTCTGTTGTGTCAATAGAAACTCGCAAAGACGAACTGATGTATACCAATTATCTAAAATCACTTCACGATTACTGTTCAGTAGGTTTTGGCAAAGATAAACTACTATTTTCTCGGAAAAAGAAAGGTTTTCTGTTCCTGAAATGTGCGATATGTCATATATATCTTTGCCGATATATATACAAAAATTCCATGTGTATCCTCGAAGTTCAGGCGCACTGGGACATAAGGAAAATATTTTGATGCCAAATCGACTTCTTTTGCTTTTTATGAACTGTCGAAAATGGAGTCGACCTTTATACAACATAAGTTGCTCATCTATTGCGAAAACTGGTCCTGGATCTACTAAGTTTTGACAATTATCTCTAATAAGAGCCATAAAAATGCCTAGTCTGCTAAGCGGTGCATTACTTTTGGCAAGTTCTGGTGGTGAAAATCTAAGGAATTTAAGAATTGCCAAAAATCGATTTCGGCTCATAACAGATTTATGAAAACATGGAGGACCAGTGCATATATTATCTGTACTCCAATAGTCTGAAATTTGTGGACACTTGGTCAATCCACTGAGAAAATATAGTGCGATAAATACATACATTTCTTCTGTTGTCACTGGTTTATAAGTCAGACCAAAAACTTTCATGGCAGTATGTGGATTTTCATTAAAATATTTATCAGCTCTTTGATCGGTCCATTTGCATAGTTTTTTAACAATATTGCTACTTACAAATGACTCAAAACAGTTTACAGCTTCCATACAATCTTGAAAGTCAATAGCTGGGTGAAAGTTATAGTCAGCACGAAATTCGGGTATATCTCTGGGAAGCTTATCATCAAACGGATCCGTAACGACTGTCCATCCGCTCATTTGTACCCCATCAATGACTTATGAATGAATATACCTGTATGAATATCCGTATGTGGATATCGTGGTAGAGTTCGCCATACCTAAAAATATCCATACGTGGATACGATGGAGCGGAACAGGTTAAAAGGTGGTGCTGTCATAACAACCCAAAACACAATATTAAGGGTAAAATAAAATATGGAAGTCAGTTAAGAAAAGTGACTTCTTCAATAAAAATTTATGAGGTTGTTTTAGGCTTACGATACACCAAAAACTTGGAGCAGCTGAAAATAACATCAAGATTGTTACATTGTTTCCAAAAACTAATAAGAAAGATGAAATCTAAAAAAAATAAAAAAGCAGTGTTTTTTATCAAATATGTAAAAAACTACCTGGACTATATATTAACTAATTTTTGTTGGGAATACATTTCTATTAGCCTTATTTATGTTTTATTGTTCTTTTCGCAGTATATCAAATTTTAATGTGCTCAAGAAGTTTTTTTCAACGAAGTAAATTGCCTCAATAAATAAGGGTTAAAAGATTATCTTAAAAGCTATCAATCTAAATCACAAATATCTACTCACCTTTCTCGCCTGTGGTTGCGCCGGTTGAGTCATGAACGTCCTCAAGGTCGCCAAAGGGGTGGGCAGCCCCCCCAGCATGGCCTGTAAATGCACGGTGGGGGTTTGCATGTGCAAGGGGCCCGCGGCAGCTGCGGCAGCCGCTGGTATAGGGACGGCGACCATTTTCTGGAGGGGGACTCCCCATGGGAGGTACCATGACCCTGGATGGTGCTGCATTTTCTGCTGTTTGATCGATAACTTAGTCACTTTCCGAATGGAGGGTGAGGGGAAGGTCTCAACCTAGTTTTCGCTAGTTAGGGACCATTTGGCGTGTTTTGTTATTGTCACTTTCGCGACTCGCACGGAGTTCACAGCGGTATCTGAAACAAGGAAACATTTTAATCTGGCTCCTATACTTGTGGGTATAAATAGCAGTGGGGAACGAAAACTTGTTTTTATTAAATAATTTACATTAAGATGCAACTAAGACGAGCAAGGAATAAAGAAATTTAAGTAAAGCAATAATTAATTAACTTATATTTATACCTAATTTCACACAGTTCTTATATATAAATATTTAAAAGTTTTTAAAATATTTTTGTTATCCTGTACTTATTGCCACGTAAATAAAATTTAAGCAACTGGGTTTTTGCATGAACGTAAAAAAATATCATATGAAAATTCTGCAGAAAGTGCTTATTAAAGGGGTAATTCAACTCGATCGGGTAACCTAGTTAGACAATTTCAGTTTTCGTTCAATACACACTTTTTCCATTTGTTTTCTAAATATTTATCTAATTTAAAAAGGAAAACTGTTTCAGTCCACTGTAATAAAATATCGTTAATAACTCTACCTATGCTTTTAAACTAATTTCATATTTATTTTTGTTTGTTATTATTTTCATTTCAACTATGTACGTGTACAATATTTCGCAAACAATTTCGTGATATATGTAACATTTGCGTAGTATTTTGGGTCAGAAGTCGAAAGTTATTGGGAACGATGTAACGTGCCAACCTTGGCAAATAACACTTTGAAGTAAGCGCCAAAAAATTAACAATACCTTTACAAATGAGCTTCACCGTTCTTATCTATAAAAGCATTAAATAATTACATACTTTCAATAAATATCATTTATTAAGTGGATTATTTGACCATTAAGTACTGCTGCTTAATATTTAATATTACCAGATACCTATAGTCTGTTCGTTGGATCATTGCACAAGTATGTTACTTTATTAAAACATTGTTGTCGTGGTTAAGAGACCTTAATCTGTTTAAATTCTTCTTAATATTTTGTTTTGACAATTAAATTAGTTTTCCATACCTATAAATAAAATTTGTATTTTTAATTTACCTGCTGTTGTTATTGTAGTTAAGGCGTTGGATTGAGTCTCTAACATGATAGGCTATTTAAATATCTAGACATGATCCAAATATGTAACAAAAATCTAAGAGTTTTACAAAATCTATCTTGGAAACCAAACGGCTTTATTCTAGTATCCAAATATAATGAAGAAAAAATAAAAAAATTTTTCATAGTCTAGAATCTAGAAGACTATCTAAAACTGATAAAAAGAACATGAACTGACCAATATAATGGGTGATTTCAACGCCAAAATAAGACAAGGTAATGTCAAGAATGTTGTGGGAACATGTGGTCTTGGCACACAAAATGAAGAACAACAAACAACATATTGCAGCAATATCTACGAACTAGAAATGGAATTGGGAAACATGAATTGAAACATAATGGAATTATCTACACAATAAAATTATCGATCGAGTTAGCAAATACAAATATTTAGGCACTTTTATAAATAAAGACAACGATAGCTCAGCAGAAATCAAAATAAGAATAGAAAAAGCCAGATCCATATTCACTAAAATGAAGAGAGTGTTCTGTGGAAGAGATTTAAGCCTTGAAATGAAACTTCGCCTGATGAGATGTTACGTACTTTCTGTGCTGTTCTACGAAATGGAGTCATGGACGTTGAAAAAGATTGATATCAAAAAATTAGAGGCATTTGAACTGTGGATGTATCGCAGAATCCTGAGAATATCATGGACCGAGAGAGTCACAAATGTCGAGGTCTTGAGGATAAATGAATAAAGAAAAGGAAGTCAAAAAACGAAAACCGCAATACTTGGGACACGTTTTAAGAGGCGAAATATATAAACTGCTTCGAATAATCATGCAAGGGAAAAGACCAGAAAAAAGGTCCATAGGAAGAAGACGAAACTCCTGGCTAAAGAATCTACGGGAATGGTATAGCTGTAGCAACAACGAATTGTTTCGGTCAGCAGTTTCGAAAATACGTATAGCCCTGATGATCGCCAACCTTCGAAATGAAGATGGCACTTGAAGAAGAAGGAACTATCGGAAGTTTAATGAAGAGAAAAAGGGTGTGTGGCCTTCCATTTAGCCAATAGGCTCTACTATAAAGGCTGGAAAGACTATACGGTGAAGTAGGTTTCTTAATCAATAAGCAGAAGAAATCACATATTCAAATAATTAATAGCATCTCGCATGAGGTTAACATAGGTACATAATCCTAAAACTAATTTCCAAAATCAGAATAAAGATTGTGCAGGTTTGTGCTCTAATTGAAAAAGCAACTGATGATGAAATAAATACTTTTAGCGAAGAACTTAAAATAGCTATAGACGATAATAAAATATCTAAAATAATTATAATGGAAGGTTGAAAAAAAATTGGAGACTGAAAAAAGATTCAAAATTTCGCATTCGGCACAAATGCATTTTAATGTGAGCGTAGCAAGTGAGTGGGGATATGAAATAAAGAGCTAAGTAGCATAGAAAAGATAATAATTATTCGAGATAATTATTATATATTCCAAATTAAATAAGGGATAATTAATACAGTTAACTTATACATTTTAAATTATACAAAGTATAACAATTTGACCTAGTTTAAAACAAGCACGAATGATTAAGAATTACGAAATATGAAGTCTTTCATGGAAATTAATAAAACGAAACGACACACCATCGCATGTTACATTCCAACACGTGGAATAGTACAGCAGAATTAGCAAAACAAAACTAAGAATGTTCGCGGGACATAAAAACTAAAAAACTTGGTCAATCAAGTCAGTGGTAGTACGGGGAGCACTCAAGGCAGTAATTGCTGAGCTCCGGATCGGACGCGAAGCGTCCAGTACGCGAGGCAGTCGGTATGTCTCCGGGGAGTAGTTAACACGCGACATAGTATCTCGTATAATCAGGTTAGTGGTGAAGTTCGTAACAACGGAGGAGTCCCCTCAACTGACCGAACTCCAGAGGACCGAAGACGTGTCGTGGTTGAAAGTCTAACTACACTAAGGTGACAGATTTCTATATATTAACCTGAGTAATTATAATAGTACAACTGTCAATTCTTCACTCTCTTGCTTCTCGTCTCCCGGCGCGCCGAATGACTTATTAACGATTGTATTTGTAAACTACAGGGTACATTCAATATATTGTAGACTCTAATTTGGTTTTAATGTTCCTTTCGGCCGATTCAGACAGAGACTAGGAGAGTACAAGATTCTGCTTATACATATCTCCGGCTTCTAAAGTAAGCCCATAACCTCAACTCTTTACAGGACCTGAGACCTAGGAGTCCTTACCCCTATCCCGAAAATCCCTTATCTTCTCGTAAATCCACGAAGACGAACCAGTCAGTTCGGACCAGTGGGGCCAGTAAGCCTAGCAGCCGCTCGCAGGGTTAGCATCCTTTGAGGGTCTATAAAGTATTTCAGTGGTGACAGCGGAGTCGCCTCATGTATTACAGCATCAGAAGAGAAAAACTTATGGTACATTCCTAAAACAAGTTAACCGTGTATACTCTGAATAGCTTTTATATAAAAAAAAACTAACAGAAAGAACATGGATCGTATCTAACGAAACTATCAAAAATGAAGTCGACTATTTTATTTCAAATATATGAATAACTACCTAATAACTAGAAATAACCATCGTATAGTTAAAGCAAAAAAAAAGTTAAAGCATCGTATTAATATTAACAAGAAAGAATGGGGAACGGTTATTTACGAAAATATCTCAGAACAAGAACAAATGGAGAAGAATTTCGAGTGGTTTTAGGGAGTCGTTTCGAATCAGATTCTCCACATAATTAGAAACAATTTGACTAATTAAAAAAAGATGTAATTAAAATTCTTGTCGAAGCCAGACTACAGAAAACAAAGAGAACAATAACTAAGGAACACAAAATATGCAACGAAAATAAAGAACTCTAAGAAAGAAAAGGAGACAATTAGTAGCGAAAAACAAATGCCATACTCAAAATTAGTACCAACAAATAAAACAATTAGAAATGAACTAAAATCTGACATTAAATAGTGAAACGAGAACTTAGTAGAGCAAGTCATCAGTTTATCAAAATTAGAGACACCAATAACAAGAAAGAAAAGCACAAATAGAAAATAATAAAGAAAGTTCAACACTTCTATAATCGAAAGTTAGAAAAAAATCAAAAAATTGGGTATAAGAGGCCCTATAATATAGAGAAATTAAAAATAAAAAGATATTTAAAAGAGATAAAATATAATAAAGCTCCAGCAAACGACAGTGTAATTGCCAAGCTTTCGAAAATATGACCCATATCGTTGCAGTCAAGTGTACAATCTGTTTATGAGTACGGTAGAACATGTTGGCTTTGGCAAGGGATATACTGCATCAAATCATCTGCTGACAATAAGAACATTGATGGAGAAGGTTAACAAATATTAACTATAGATACGTCTTCAAAACTACAAATCAGTTAATCTATGGCATCAACGTTAATGGCAAGATAAACAACCTGATAGTTACAAACTATGGTGAAGCAACTCTCAGACAGCCGTTAATATGTCAACCTAAAAGTAAATATAGCAAGAACAAAATCAACGACAAGTACTGACGAAAGTTATTTACGAATCACAAAATATCTGAACACTTAAGGAGCAAAGCGTTCAATTAGTGCATCTTTCCTATTATGACCCAAGGGTAATGGAAAGTGTAATGCTAGGTATACAACTATCAGATATATATCAGGTATACAACTATCAGAATAACATGAATGTGTTGCTTGTGTGAGTCCATTTCAAATAGGTAAAGAAATAATAAATAAGACTTACTCACAATCAATTTAATTTAACTATCAGACGACCGGTTTCGCTTTCTACAATATGCAAAACATCTTCAGGTCTCGATACAAAGTTAAATAAAT